TTTGGCTACTATCTCGCCTGGTGGTAAGCGATGATGCGGTCTACGATGGAGCACATCTCCCATAAGCAACCTATTCACTCGGGCCTTGAAGACAGGAACCCTGTTGTTAGGGACGTTATTAATCTACCTAAATGATAAGACATAATAATTATGAAATAGAAAGTATTAGGATTACAATTATACTAAAAAAAAAATAACTTAGTCCTTTTTAAAGCACAGACAACACACATTCGGCTTTTGGTTATATCTTGTGTCCATAGACGGCTCTGATTGCTTACCATCGTCTATCCCCCAATTCCATGGCGCGTCGCGTTCCGTGCGCGCCTCAAAGAGCCATCAGACCACCACAGATGGGGCCCAACAGGGCTTATGCCGATTCGGAGTCGTGGAGAACCTACCGGGTAACCGGGGCTCCGGCTCGACGTGTGGGAGAAGGAACGGGGTGGTTTTTAGTCAGTAAGAGTCTGACACTCTCTCTCGTCTCACCCAGGCGGGAGCAGTAATTCGATGATTTTCCCCCCTTAAAAAAATCCCCCAATTCCATAAAAGAATCTTGTTCTCTATTTAAAAGGGCTTGTAGTGCAATACATAGATGTTCATTAATAAAGTATCCATAAAACCTGACCAATAAAATAAGTTGAAGGAAACTACGCTAATAAAGCGAAAGATAGGTATATCGAATGTTTTGTACCCATTTTTTGTACCCATGTTCGCAAATGAATAAATGATTTGATTTGATTTGATTTGATTTGATTTGATGTAAATTTTAGTACGCAAGTTCATCTCCTTCATATAATTTTTATATATAAAAGAGAACTAATTTTATACAGTCGTTAATTAATTCAGATAGCAAAATACCTATTGGTGTTTGAAAATTAGGGCGTGGCTCAATGCCTTGTTTTTTGTTAATATAAAATCTTAAAACAATTTCGTTGGCACTCATATTAAGTATAAGAAAACTATAAAACTTATGTCATCGATAAAATATTTTCTGTAACCACGTGCAAATATAAATTGTTTGTTCATCAAATCTATCAGCTTACATTGTAATTACATAACAGTACAATTTTATTAAATATTTGTTTGTCTGTTTGTATCACTCGCTTAGATAAGCGATGTATGTAACTAAGAACGTGATTTATAACATAACATTTAACATATTACGCAGCATATTTTGTTGTGTGTAATTATTGATGTTATTGTTTATTGCACGTACTTTATAATAATATAAACACGTTTATCTTGATCTGATGTGAAAGAACCTGAATGTCACCTTATGATAGATAATGGAGTATGTTTATGGCTGCCTCGTTGTCCGAGTGGTCGCAAGTACGACTGCTGGGCAAGGGGTCTCGGATTCAATTCCCGGGTCGGGCAAAGTATTACTGGGTCTTTAAAAATCTCAGTAGTAGCACGGAGTCTAGAAATGTGCCCGATATATGGCAATAGGGTGTCTATTGCGCCTTATATCCCCGAAGGGGTAGGCAGAGGTACACATTACAACACTTAATGCCACTGTAAAGTGTAACACCCACTTTTCACTATTTATGTTATGAGTCCCGTGTAATAGGGGGTGGACTTATTGCAATATACCGGGCACATTTTCAGACTCCGTGCTTCCGAGGGTTCAAAACCTACCAACAGCAAGTACCAATCTGACTTTCTAAGATTATTATTTAGACATTACTGATAAACGGTGAAGGAAAACATCGTGAGGAAACCTGGACTTATAATTTCTAATAATAAGGTTTAAAACCGCATTGAGCAAGTGTGGTAATTAATGTTCAAACCTTCTCCGTGTGAAAAAAGGCCTTTGGTCAGCAGTGGGCACTTATAGGCTGTTGATGATTAAGCCTAAATTATAAAATAAAACAAAAGCAGTAAACTGCTAAAATCTCTGAATTACACACACACGCACACACACACTATTTGGAGTCGTACACAAGTACATACACTTAAAATACATAAATACAGATACATAGCACACAAATTTCGTTACCAACTATCACACATCTCACTGCCAGCACCTACTTTGTGTAACAGAAGAATAGGAAAGCCCTTATGATCGGCAACTAATGATAACTAAAACAAAGCTTGGGTTATCACTCTTACAATTTCTGCTTAATATGAAACGCGGATGATGGAAAAGGTGAACGCAAATTATATCGTGTGAGATAGGATAGCGGACAGTGGATAGTAAAAGGACAATGGCCGGGAATGAGATGTTTAGATTGATAGAGCAGGATAAATGCAGGGAAGGACCGAATGGATGCTGTTGTCAGTTTAAAAATTACGTAGGTACGCTCATTTAAAACTGTTACAGCTTTCAATGAGCGATTCTTGTAATGCCTATCAACGATTTCCGGAAAGCCAGTGGATGCAGGTGTCGAGTTGCCGTTCGACGTGGAGGACTAAGGGGGAGGCTTTTGTCCAGGAGTGGACGTCTTTCGGCTGTTGTTGATGATGACAAATTGGTTCCGGGGCCAATAAGTCAATCTAGCTAGGTGTCATTTTCAGAAAGTGTCGTTTACAATTTACAATGAAATTACAATGAACATAGGGTTCTTCAAGAGGGGAGTGAAGCATGTAATGCCCCAAGTGTTGCAGGCGTACATAGGCCACGGTAAACGCTTACCGTCAGGTGGGCCGTGTGCGTTTTTGCCACCGTCGTGGTATAAAAAAAAACGAACACTGTGAAAATTTCGGTCATCCAAATACGTTTTATATAAGATAGATGTAGAGTATAGGTTTGATAAAAGAAAAATAAAGATTAGTTTCAAAATTTGAACCAGTTATTTGCAAAAATACTGTTAACTTGTTAATTTGCGACTAGCCCGATCGGTCCATCGGTGATAGTTCAATATAACAATTTAGCACAACTTATTGGTACTTTAAAGAAAACGATAAAAAATACATACATAGTTTTAGTGTTGTCAGTTTTACAAAAAAAAAACATTTAAATAAGTTAGTAGGTATACAGACGTACAGATTCACATTTTATTAGAACAGATGAAACCAGTCAAAAAATAAACACTAAACACATAATTTTCTTCTTGAAAAATACACTTCATAGTTAATGAAGCATCAGAATCACATATTAACAGGTTAAACATATGTCAGTGTGTGTAATATAGGGATAAGTTACTGGTTCAAGAGTTGGCAACCGACTTTCAAACAGTCATTAAGAAGTTGCGAGTGGAAATTATGTAATGAGAAATATCAGTTTTTAAGTTGGACAAATATCTCTTTCATGTAGAGAAAAAAGGTGGGTTCTGCACTAGAATTAACTGACAATTTCGATTTCTGTTCATGGAAAAATAGACCCTCAAATCATGTAGACATTACATATTGTAACTATAATCAATATTAGTTGAAGACTTATAAACACAATAAGAATGCAGTTTCGGAAAATAGATCCTGATTTAACTGTGGGTATTGCGCACAAAATAAATTCTAGTTCTTTAGTTTTATTTAACTATCTGAATAGTGACAGGTTAGGCATTCATTTAGGTACTTTTTATATTTAGATACCCCTCATTGTTCGATCGATAATTTACAATAGCAAAATTTGCAACGATCCTAGACCATATTTTCTTTTCTATGTGGAGGATGTTTATGAAAAAATGTATCTTAGTTTACACTATATGAGGTTTCATGTTTATAATATGGTTAGTTATTTATGAAAACAAATCTCCCCACGGGCTGTGGTGACCTCATATTGTAAATATGTTTGTTCTTCGACGATAGCAGCCATCAGTTAGAAACAATAACATTTTGCTAAGTATGACGGTGGACGGTTTGGCGAAAACTGTCTTTAGTCTATTATACCATTGTCTTACTATTTTGTTAGTGTCGATTATATATGTTGTAGTATTGTATAGTGAATTGTACTAGCAACTATTTATCGTTTCATCTCTTTGATAATGAACGGAAATTGTAATGGATCCACGATCTTTGTGTGGTAAGAGGGTCTTATTGTCTTTCGTTAGTTTTGATAGCTAAGCATAGTCTTTTATTGTTTTGGTTTCTACTACTTTCTTGTTGCATTTTACAATGAATGTCAAATTAAATATATTCTTAGAAATCATATTCAGATTTCATTTTTGAGTTGTCTCTTATTTTTGGATTTTCATTCTGAAGGGCAATAAACACTAGCGTAACTTTAATTCTTCTTATTTAGATATACTATAGCATATAGTGGTTCTTGCAAACACGTGACGAATTATTATGTACTTCTGAGTTACTATTGTTTAAATACTATTGCATACACACGTGCACTAACATTTTAATTGCATGACGTCAGCATTCGTAGTGTACAATCATACATTGTGCTTTTTAGATGTCTAAACATTGTTTTTCGCATCATAATACCTATGTATAGGCATACGCTTTCTTTGTATTATTAATCGACTTCAAGAAAGGAAGAGGTTCTTATTTCGATTGTATTTTTTTGTTGAACTTCTCCCTGACTTCATTAACTTTCTTTGGTTCTGTTACTTTAGTTTTTTATTTTAATATTTTATTGTATATATTGACAGTCGACAGTCGACAGTCGCACTTACGACTATTCTGCCAACGATGGCAGAATAGTCGTAAGTGCAAGGGCAAGGGGTCTCGGGTTCGATTCCCGGGTCGGGCAAAGTATTACTGGGTTTTTAAATATTCTCAGTAGTAGCACGGAGTCTGGAATTGTGCCTGGTATATGGCAATAGGCTCATCCCCTATTACATGGGACTTATAACATAAATAGTGAAAAGTGGGTGTTACATTGTACAGTGGTATAATGTAATGACTGCATGGTTGGCGCGGTGGCTGGGGAACTGGCTGCCGCGCAACGTGTCGCGGTTTCGATTCCCGCACGGAACAACTCTTAAAAAACCTCTGCCTATCCCTTCGGGGATGAAAGGCGCAATGTTATTTTATTGTAGTTGGTTGGATTCTTCCCATTTGATTTCATTTCCATCGATGATCAGATTGCTTTGTTTTGCAAATTATTCTTAATTGATGTTATTTTGTTCATAGGGTCCGGAGTCGGCACTGAACTCAAACCCGGGTGGCGCCGCGAAGCCGCCGCTCATCAACTCATTCGAGCTGGACCGGTGTTTGGACCGGTAAGTGCTTATCACAGTATAGCAAATACTCAAAGATTGAACATATTCATCAGTTCCGAAATCAGCCAATCTCGGTCTTAAAGCTGATATGAAGAAAATTAACAACACTATGTTTAATAGTTTATTTCTTATTTTTCTCTTTAGGGAACTTATCTACACTTTAAATCGAGCTAATACTCAAATGAAGATGACATTTTTTTTCTACATTACGTTTTCATTTTGTTTCAAGATTTCTGAAGGTAATTTGGCTGTTGGTTAAAAAGAAACCTTTGTTTCCAGGGAGGAGTCCGGCAGGTGGGGCGGCGAGGCGGCGCGGCGACGCCGGCGCAGCTCGCCCCCGCGCCGCGCCTCGCCCCCTCGCGACCATGAGCCCCTCGCACTTGCACGGGTGAGTCAACTTGGAATTTCTCTCAGGGACACTGTTTTTACTTCAAACACAACAATCGATCCAATTTTTTTCAATTATCTCTGTTATTCTTATAATTAGGCTAATCAAAATCTCCAATCTTAATCTTCACGAACATAAACACTTGCACACCCAGACCCAGAAAACATGTTGTGGTTCACACAAAGTAATTGAGACATGCTGCACAGCGTTCTGCAGTAGTGGAGTCCATTGCACCTATTGTGTAGTGGAGTCTATCCTTACTATTATAAATGGGAAAGTGAGTTTGTTTGTTTGTTTGTTCCGCTTTCACGCCGTAACTTCTAAACCGATTGCTTTGAATTTTTGCAGACGTAAAATTAGAAGTCCGGATTAAATAATAGGGTACTATTTGGAATTCTCGAGGGAAAACATAAAATTGGTATAGATGGCGCTGTGTGTATTAGTATAGGCTACTTTTATCCTTTTGTGACGCGAGCGAAGTCGCGGGTAAAAGCTAGTAAATTATAATTATGACTTCTGACTTCCTATATTCCTTGTTCAGGCTTCAGCCCCAACATCTCCCCAAGGCTCGGCCCATTCGAGCCCGGCACCGGTATCTCCTGCCGGGAGTGCCGGTGCAGCAGGTGGGGCCCGCTCACCACTGCCACTCGTGGCACCTGACCTGCTGGCCATGCAGCTCCTTGATCAGCACACCCAGCTGCAGGCCCTTATGAAGCAGCGGCTGTTCCACCAGCATCATATGCAGAAACAGGTACAATGACGATGTAGTGTAAACGTTATTGTCCTTACTGTATGTAAAATAAACTTAAAAGTGGAATAGATTCCACGAATCATTAATAACAATTTATTTAAATCATTTTTTTATATTCATATTTCTTATTAAATTTATTATATTCTTTATTTCTTATATTTCATATTTCTTTAATTACTTAGGGGTTTTAGTAAAATAGTTTGTTATTGTCTCAGAAGTGTTTATTTTATTAAATATAAGTAAAGGTACAACAAATACTTGCTATGTCGTGCTTGGGTTATAGTGTACCTATATGTTAAAGAAAAATGTTATGATGTAATTAAAATTGTTTGTACAACGAGCGTCTCTCGCCATCAAACGTCAAAGTTTGGCGAGTGTAGATATAAGGCCATACCTTTGTAAAATTGAAAGGAATAAAGGGCATTGACTAAAATTGGTGCCTTTCTTTTTTCTGGCGGCAGTCGATGATTTATGGAAAATATTATCTAGAATGTCATTACAAACGAAATTGTCTATGGGCTCATATATCGAAATCTCAGTCTGGACTGAGTTATGAGCGTTGAAAGGAGCTGGAATAAAACATTTTACTTTCGGTTTTTTATTCAAATTATTGATATTTTTGTCATAGTTCTAACTTCAAATTGCGCGCCACTGTACGCTGGGCACAGAAACACCAAATTACACCACAATATATCCATATTGCCAGTCGCTACTTTTTATTAGCTATTTTCTCTCAGTCGATAACTTGTAGGATGCTTCTAGGAGTTGCGTCGAGAAGCTTCATGAGTGTCAGCTGTGATACCATTGGTGGGTTGAGTAGTTGTAGCCGTCCAAACATCTAATAAAGTATTTTTTTGCCGTTGACTCCTGGTGGGAGACTCATCTACTTTGTAGTTAGCATAATCTTTTGAAGAAAGCAAACCGTCGACTTTGTGAAGTGATGGACTATACGTCAGATGAGCGCATAATTTTTTCATATAATGTGATCATTCGAAAGGCATCACTTTGTGACTGAATGACGATGTGTTTGTACAGAATCTTATGCTAGATGTAGATTAAAGTATTAACTGTAGTTAGATTAGGTACTAATCGGAAGTAAGTCGGGAGAAGTAGACAGAAAAATGATTTTTTCGTGTTTTGACGACAGTTACTACTCAATCCGCTACCGACGCCGCAGCTGACAAACATAGCATTTCATGATAGGGCTCAGTAAAGTATTTTGCGGGTTTTTGACTGAGAGGAAATTGATAATGAAAATCTGTCATGGGCCATAAACCGTATACATATAAATTGAACACTGCCACTCAAACGAAATGTTATTTTTTCTTCGGCAGTGGTCAGTTAATGGTTCACTCTGTTATGATTCCGTGGCCTTATAACGAAAAAAAAAAAAATAACAAACAAAAAAATAATTATACAAGTCCACAATATTATATTCCTTGAAATCGTCTATAAACATTTATTACAAAATACGATCTGACAAGTAAATGAAGAAATATGCGTTGTGTACGGTCACCATCAACAAAATCACAGGAATTATATAGCACAATTTCACATCTTTGAACTGATTTAACTCGGTTTGGACTGTGTTTTTGATATAAGACCCCATATATTTTTTTGTTTGTAATGTTATTCTGCATCAGTTTATCCACATCCGATCAACTGCCGCGAAAAAATGAAAAGGCACCACGCTCCATACAAATTTGGTCATTGTCATTTGTTTAAAAAAAAAAATTAAGAGTATTATCGAATGGCCTTGATATACGGCATGTAGGTTTTTGAAGTTGGTGCGTTTATATAGGTTTCTGAATAAATAGTTACTCTAATTTTGTTTAATGGTATTTTATGATGACATTCTTCCAACAGCATATGACATCAGAGGCTGCAAAGCGTCAGCTGGAACAATCGCGACTGCAAGACCAGATTAATCTTAATTTGCTGTCACAATCTCACCTGCCTCCACCAGATACGTCGCCAGGTAACTACTTTCATCACAACTTAATTCTCTGAAAACAAGAAATATTTATCACACCCTGGACCAACGAACATTTGATTGAAGAAAAGAAATGAAGCTTCATAACATTCTCTTGTGATAAATTAATGGTTTCTTGTTTAGGATCTCTTCAGCAACAACTAGGCGCCCAGCAGCAGCAGCTGGTGCAACAGCTGCAAGCAGTACAGCGTCAGTACCTGATGCACGGACCACTCTCCGTGCCACCCAATGCTCCTCCAGGTAGTTTCACGAATTTTCTTCTATGTCCTTTTCCATAATTGAATTTAGATGTGACAGTGGTATTATTTCCATCAGGCTTAATGCTGTGGGGCAGTGAGATGGAGGAGCATCCTCTTTTTGGTCGTGGTGTCTGCAAGTGGCCCGGCTGTGATGCTCTAGCAGAAGATTACCAGGCCTTCCTTAAGTAAGTTTTTTTAACACAGTTTAGAAATCAGCTACTATAATGTTTCACCCTTAATCTTTGACCTTGTCGATATTAGAAAGTGGAGCCTTTTAAACAAATTTTAAATACCGAGGAAAAGATTAGTATCACAAGTTTCCTTTATCTTATGTTCTCAGGCACCTGGAAGCGGCGCATACCCTGGACGATCGGTCCGCGGCGCAGGCGCGCGTACAGATGCAGGTGGTGGCGCAGCTGGAGCTGCAGCTGCGCCGCGAGCGCGACCGCCTCGCTGCCATGATGCGCCATCTGCACGCTGCACGGGATACCACGCACCATCAGGCTAAGCATCCACATGGTATAACTATTTTTATTATACTCTACTTCTCAATACTTGGGGTAGACCTATGTTCAGCAGTAGACGTCTTGAGGCTGATGTGATGATGATTCTTAATACAGTGGAGTTCGAGTTTATTCCGATCTTTACTTTAAGTTTCAATATCTCTTTATTTTAGTAAACCAATGTTTTATCTCTATATCCTTTTTGCAGTATGTATAGTAGCTGTGATAATAGTCAGCAAATATTCATAACTTGCAGGTCCTGCTTCTGAAGGTGCATCTCCAGGTCCAGTTCGGCGCCGTGTCTCCGACAAGTCTGGTGTCGCTATTGCCGGAGGTAATTCTTTACTTTTAACGAGTATTCTTCTATCATATTTTCATCTATTTTGGTTGTGTCTGATTGCCAAAAGAAGTCTTTCTAGATTAATAAGTTCAGATTGAAGTTTTAAGTATTGTTTCTGTTCTTAAGGTCTTCCGTATATGCTCGAAAGAGCTGGATTAGATGTGCAACAAGGTAAAGATATAAAAACAATGGTTTTAGTAGATGTTATTCTTGTATGCTGTATTTTATTCACATTGTAGTTTCTGTGTGTGTCGTGGTGGCCCGGAGGTTTAAGACGCCCACTTCTCATGCATGAGGGTGCGGGTTCGAAACCTACCAACGGCAAGTACCAATGTGACTTTTTCCGAGTTATATGTACTTTCTAAGATTATTTAGACACCACTGACAAACGGTGAAGGAAAAACATCGTGAGGAAACCTGGACTTATAATTTCTAATTATAAGTTTGAAATCGCCAACCCGCATTGAGCAAGCGTGGTGATTAATGCTCTAACCTTCTCCGTGTGAGAAGAGGCTTTGCTCAGCAGTGGGCATTTATAGGCTGTTGATGATGATGATGATGATGTAGTTTCTGTAGGTTCGTGTGGTTTTGTAATATGTATTATTTTGCATTCGAACAAGTTAATGTTTTCAGAGATCCAACGCAACCGCGAGTTTTACAAATCGGCTGATGTGCGGCCGCCATTTACGTACGCCTCACTTATTCGCCAGGTTTGTACTTTCTTATAGTAACTAATTCACTGATAATTATTAGTTTTAAATACTATAACAGTCTGTATAAGAAACCATAAACCGTGTTCTTAATAAAAATAAAAATAACAGCAGATTCTTAAGTTAATACTGGATTAATACTAAGAGTTCCTCAAGGGTCGATCCTAGGACCATTATTTCATCTTAATAAAAATGTAATATTTATTAGTTTTACGTACTTTCCAGGCTATCATAGAATCTCCAGACAAGCAGCTGACTCTCAACGAGATATACAACTGGTTCCAGTCTACATTCTGCTACTTCAGGCGCAACGCTGCCACTTGGAAGGTATGTCCTAGTTATTTAAAAAGTTTTGCTAGACATATACCTAAACTTATTGGGAAATTAAGTCTAAAATATTATTTTAAAAGGTACATATACAATAATACTGTTATTGTCCGTATTGAAAAAATATTAAATTCTAAAGAAACAACTGTTTAGATTTTATATATAAAACTAATAATTTCTTTTTGAACGAAATACTGTTTGCAATGCAAAGAGACAAGGTAAATGTAGTTATTTGATTTATGTATACGTATTTATATCACTATATACCTATATACCTATTTGTAACAGCAATCTTCAATTAAAATAGCACTAAGCATCTCATTGCTAAGAAAAAATCAGAAGGTTTGTATAAAAATACAATAAATTTTTCTAGTCAGACTTTAGTTGACGACTGCTGTTCAATAAAAGATTAAGACAATAAGAAGCTTTAATATGTATTCTATAATTCTACATAAGATTATCATCCTGTGTGTATACAACAATATAAATGTGTTACGACGATGTGCTATGACGAAAAATGAAAGACGACCACCATTAAAAAAATGCCATGTTTGAAACTAAAACAGATATAATTGATAAAATGAACATAGATACTGATATAGATGGGATTGTTAGTGTAAATGTAAATCAGAGCATAGCATATCGTCTTATAAGTAGTGAAGTGAATGTTGACGCGTTGCGTGGCGACACAGAACGCGGTGCGTCACAACCTGTCGCTGCACAAATGCTTCATGCGCGTGGAGAACGTGAAGGGCGCCGTGTGGACCGTGGACGAGGTCGAGTTCTACAAGCGCCGGCCGCAGCGCGCCGCGCACCACCCGCCGCTGCACGCCGGGTACTGCTCGCTACTCGCTCCGCCGTCAGACCTGTTCTACTGCCTCCATCACATACATACACTACACAGATTACACTTCACTTTCACTTTTACTCTTACACTTTTATCTGGATTTCTTGACAATTACACTTTTTACACAACTTATTGCAAAAATGCAATGCACTTATTCACACTTTTACATTAACACTGTACAAGTATTGACTTAGCATGATAATCTTCTAATTATTTAGCAATACATCACATCATACGAGAATATACACTGTACATAGATTATTTTTACACTTTACTATTTACTCTTGCCATATAGCCCTGTTGCTAATTAGAAAAACATACAAAATAAACTTACAAATTATACTTTACAGTTTACACATACTAAACTGTGAATATTCATTACACACTTTTACTAAAACAGAATTCACAATTTTTTACTGCATACTTTACTAATTACACAATATTTGGCTTTTTATTACGACTTGTTACACGCATACATACTATCACTAATACAGCAACACACTTGAAAATTACATATTCAAAGAATACTAAACTGTTTATTGTCAAATTACACTGTTCAGAAAACTCCAAACAAAATCAACAACGTACCTCCCAATCTCTACTACTCTGTATTACATTACATACACTCAAACTTACTCACTCACTTTCTGCACTGAACAAGAACTTATACTCTACTCTTAAGGCCCAACAAACTAACTTCATACACTGATATAACAATATTGATATTTTCTATTCAAAAACAATCACAAACCTACTGAACAATACCACAAATAATATCTAACAAGAAACCGAACATCTCAACAATGACACTAAAATTTTAAAACTACACTAATATTCTAAAACAAAAACTCTTATTAATTATTTATTCTAAAAATATATTATAAAGTTAAAGACAAAATATAACACCATTGCTATCAATTAAAAAAAGCATTAATGGTGAATTTGATCAAAGTACTACCAAACTGAAATTTATATTATGGAATGCAAAGAGAATGAGATTGACTTGCATTTCGATCAATAACAAATCAACTAAACACTGTACACTTTCTACACTACACAGTTTTCGGTACATTTTGATCTTCTCTTAAATATTTTCTATCTAACCTAGCGATGTATCTAACTCTTATTGTGTAAATAAACGTTTTCATCTCGTTTCAGATTTGAATCTGTAATTATTTGTGTAGTGGGCTCTTGATTATTGTGAGTGGCATTATAACTTGCCAGTTATAAAGTCACCAACTTGTCAAGTCTTGTAATTTTTCTGTATTTAGGTTTTATGTGTGTGTACGTGGGTTTCGGCACAACGGTGAATAACGTTTTCTCGCTTGCCTATTAACCTCCTTTCCTGTCCATCCTTCAGGGTTTCTGGGGCTATGATATCCTGCATGGTACGGTGTTCCATTCCACGACGATCTGATTGTGCTTTCATTGTCAGCTCTCATGATTGATGATTTAAATTCTTAACAATGAAAGCACAAACATTAATGTAAGATGATTGGAGATTTTTGAATAACTGTGATAGTTATTAAACGGCGATGCAATTATAGAACGCTATCCGGACCAACCTGTCACTGCACAAATGTTTTGTGCGGTACGAGGACGACTTCGGCTCTTTCTGGATGGTGGACGACGCGGAATTTGTGAAGAGACGACACCTGAGTCGAGGCAGGCCGCGGAAGTATGAGCCGGCCGCCGGGCCCCCGGGCCACAACCCGCCACAGTAAGGGCGCCGCGATACACTTGCGACCGTCCAACGATCGAACTTAGTTACGCTTTTCATGGTGTTTATAATTGACCGTACAAAAGCATTTAGATACTTTATTAGACATTTTAAAAAACTAACAAGACAATGAATTTATAATGAAGAAATTATAAATACCAAAACAAAAAAGCTAACTAAGAATACTATATACTTAGATGTCATAAGACTTATACTTTAGTTCGGCAAACTTTTGACGAAATGTCGACTTGAACTTTTGATCGCTTAAACTGAAAAATGTGATGAAATCTTTCTATATAAAACCGTGAGTCGTTGGACGATCGCGTCCACATAGCGTTAATGTATGTGAATACAAACACCGAGAATTATCAGAGTATTAGTGTGAGAGAGATAATCCTCGGTAGACACACTAGATTTGATGTTTCTGACCATTATTGTAAAGTGTTTCACCGTGTAAGCTTAGATTAATTCAACATGTCATGTTAGTCCGTAACTAGACACGTGTTTATAATAGCGGATTATGAACACTGTGTGTGCTTATATTTGTTTCCACGAAGGCATGCAATATTTAAATTGTCAAATTGTAAAGTCTCTTGTTGGCAAGATGAACAGAATATGTTGAGTCGTCTGAAGGCTTAGAACGAGTTCGTTTTATGTTTAAAGTAATCGAAACGAGACCACGAACAGAGGGCTAAGCACGAATAACTATCGCATTCGTATCGTAACAGTATCGAGCGAGTTAAGCGTTCTGATTGGTTGGTTCACTTGAGCCGGCCAATCATAGCGCCGAACGCGCTCGATACTATTACGTTACGAATGTGATAGTTATTCGTGCTTGGCACTCTGATCGGCTCCTATGAACCATACAATCAGACCGTCGAACGCAGCCTTGTTTCGATCCTTTAAACGTAAAACAAAACTAGTACATAGGCCTCTCAATGGTTAATATAAACACACACACGTATTATAGACTCCTAGAGTGCGAAGCTATAGCCAATTGTTTTGCAATAGTTTTTAACATCACATTAAAACAAATAACTTGTTTAAAATTAGCTTCTATATCATATTTTGCTAATGTAATTACATGGAATATTTTCAATTTACATTTGATGAAACTCCGGAGCTATGTCGATGATTATAAACAATGTTTATTTTTACAAAGACTTGCATGTTTGCATCTAATACAAATTATTGTAAAGGATCGTCGTTGGATATCCAAGTAAGATTAAATATTATATTTTAATCTTTTACTATTCCCAATCTTTAAATTGTTGCATGTCATCCCTGAGGTAAGTGTACCGCTTCTTATGCTTTGCCTGTGCATTTTTGTCGCATGTTAATTAAGGTTTTTCTAACATTTTTCCAATAATATGCTTGCCTTTTTTCCCATTTTCTATTTTATATTCTATTTATCTTTCTCTATCATACACATTCACACATTTACTGTTACACTTTTCATATAAATTGGACTTTAATTCAAAATTATACACTCTACATAATATACACAATACAAAATTCACTATAAATAGTATAAATGGTTATGAGTTTATTTGGAAGAGGTCTGAAATGGCCGGGGTATGAGTTTTTATTTATTTTGTTTTATTAAAATGATCAGTTCCATTAAATATTATGAATTCATTAGTATTAAAGTTTTATGAGAAAAGAAATTGCAGAGTTTAATTTGATTTTGAAAGCTGAGTATAGTTTTATGATTTGCAAGTTCTATAATTGGCTACTGTTCTCCCAGGTTCATGGGAGCTCAGAGTCCTCCAATGATGACCAGTCCTCATGGATATAGCGAAGCACTGAAACGAAACCTGCAGGTATGGTACAATGTATGTGACCTACTAAAAGATGGCTAACAAATCCCTACTAACACATTATTGAGCAGCAAAAAAATAAATTTCTTAAACGTTTTGTGTTGTTATTTCGCAGGGTATGATGGAAGATTGTAACCTGTCGTATATGTCCGGCGAGGATCACATGATGCAGTCTGAAGACTATCCTTCCTCGCATGATGATTACAGGTATTTTTTTAAAACGTTGCGTTGCCCCACGTTGTTACCATTTTCTCTTGCGTCATGGGTGCGTTTACAAACATACAAGTTCACCTACACATGACACCCAAACCAGAAAAAACAATTTGTGGATCACACATAAACTTTCTCCGTGCGGAAATCGACCCCGCTACACATTGCGCGGCAACCAGTTACCCAAACACCGCGCCAATGCAACATTTCATTTAATACAAAGTGACATATAGTTCACAAAATGGTAAATAATCTAAGTTGCAAGCTAATAGAAATAAATAAAAATACAATAATGATACTGTCACAATAAATCACAAAAAATATTTGTTTAGTCCAAAATAGTCAAACTGTGTTATTTCGTTCCTCTTTTAACAATGAATATGCTCACCAGCCGGCCCCCGATGCTAAATGGATACGGCAGCAGCAGTTCCTCTCATGATGTAAAGGCCGAGGACCTGACCAGCGACCCTCAAGATGTCAAACCCAACATCTACGCACTCAAGAACGAGATGCAGGCTTCTGATTATTCTAACAAAGGTACCTTTGAATATTTTTACATATAATTACTGACGATAAATTGGTCAATTCTTTAAAAATTGCTGTGTAAAAAAAACTTTTGTTTTCCCTCGAGAATATCAATTTTTTCCGGAATAAAAAGTACCCTATTATTTAATCCTAACTTCACGTCTGCAAAAATTCAAAGCAATCGGTTTAGTAGTTACGGCGTGAAAGTGGAACAAACAAACAAACAAACTCACTTTCCGATTTATAATATTAGTAAGGATACAGATGATAAATTGGTAATTTTTCTTATTAATAATTGCTGTGTTGAATGAGAGTTTTGATATGTAGAACAAATAATACTTGTTTTTTTTTAACGCATTTAAATACCACATTTTTGACTAGTGACAAACTATATATTATCCGTGTATATGTAGCTTAAATCTATATTCTCCTTTTCAGACTACTCAAACTCAAACAAAGAGTCATCCAGCAACCGCTCTGGCGAAACTAGTCCTTATGATGACTACCCGAGGGCCGAAGATCGGTACCGACCTTCCATGTCTCACATCAAAGACGAGGCCGAAAACTTGTCCCTCAATGAACAGAGATCTGACAAATAAAGTACCCACGAGTTCGTAGGCACCAATACCAGTGCCTCACGCGATCAAGTATCAAGATTATGTGGCTTTTACTCGTACACAGTCTGTGTATGTGTAACCAAAGCTAAAGTGTGTCTGTACACAAGTGTGTAAGTACACACGTCACGTGAACTAAGTGTAAATCGTTTACAGTAACACTCCAGTGTTTGGCGTTTATTATCACAGTATATAATACTATATTAATTACGGGTGTAGATCTATTTCAAGTTATTAGAAATGGTGTACTAGAAAGTGTAATGTGTTCACTGTTCGAAGTTTTTATAATAAACAAAATGGACGATCTCGAAATGAGGAATTGTAAGTTAGAGTTAACCAAATATTTTTTTCTTTATTTTTTAATTGACCCGGTTTTAACGGGGTTTTGAAGTATTATAGGTTTTACGTTTTTTTTTTAATTTTAGTTTCCCCTTAGGTTTGGTAGCTGAGGTAGATTAACTTGTTAGAAATATTTATAGCATGTAAGTGTTAGGAAGTTTTTAGATGGAACGGATTGCGCAAATAATCATTGAATTCAACGATAAATAACCTTAAAAGGTCCATATCAATATTTAAATAAAATATTTAATCATTATTTGTAATATACAAGTATTAAGAACAATAAGTAGCAACTATTGATACGATAAACATAAGCTTAATTATACGCCAAGCGTTTCAGTTGTTTTTTCATTTTGTGCTGCAGAAAAGTAAAGAGGATCTCAGAACATTTACATTATTTTCAAAACACAGAGACCGTTTTATTTTTTACATATATTTTTGTGATTATTGATCTGATGTAAAGTTATGGTATGTATCTATGTTTATTTTAATGGCGGCCTGATATTTTTGGTACCGTTATGTTTTATTACTTAATTTAAATTCCATGGAATTGTTTCTAGCGTAAGTTTAGACTGTAAATATTTATCATGGATTGTAAAATAAATCTTTTTTGAAAAAAAAAAATAATGGTAAAAATTTAGACGAGTGTAATGTTCACTTAAACTATTGCATATTAAATCGTTCCATGTTGTAGAAAAAAAAATTAGAAAAAGTAAACTTAGTAGTAAAAATCACTGTATCTGTACTGAGAAATCGTTTCTTGTTTAGTTCGAAAAAAAAATAATTTTCGTGCATTTTTCGATTTTGCATTTACCTACTATAAAATAATAATAAGGGCGTTTGGTTGGTTTTTGTTACTTTTTCGATAATTATCGAAAAGGGTGGAAATAACCATATCACACATTATTATGTATACTTGTAACGTAGAGAACTGTATAATGAGTATGTGAAATGTATATTCGATTACGCAATAACTTTGGGATTAAAAATGTATACATTAATAGCTATGTAGGTGTGTCACATTTTTACATAAATACTATGTGAAGTGCAAATGCTGTCACAGTTGGGTTACGGTAAAAAAACAAACAATAGGCGTGTCGACAGGGTAAACAAATAAAAAAAGTAATTAGTCCGTCATTAAGATCGCACGAAAATATCAGACACGTATTTTTTGTTTTATCAAATTAACAGAAGAATACGTAGTTATTCCGCATTAAAGTTAGGGAGTGGGGGGTGTTGACGTCACACTTACGGAGAAATCGTACCTAATTGTGACGTCACGCGTCATTTTAACTCAAAAGATCTACATGCTTTTTTGGATACGAGAAAAAAGAAAAAATACGTATCGAAGATTTTTAAAATATCTAAAAGACGGACAAAAAATTAAAAAATAGTCGCCATGCCTATTATTGACGTAGAAATAGATAAAAGATTCGATTGTTAGCCGTTCCCATCCGCCTATAACGCAGAGTCCCGCCGCCTGATATATTCCAAACCTTACCTTTACCGTGGCCTGACAGAATTTCACACGCATTCGTCACAAACACGTAGCCAGTAGATAAACAATTTCTTCGTACCTACGTTAGTAACTGCTATAGAATGAGGCTGTTGGCAAGATCCTTCACCCAGCTGACTGATATTTTCTTTTATACAAAGACTTGCACTTGTATACGTGTAAACAGCCCCTAACAGTCAAGTACAATAATTACGTAATTTTCGTAATTAATCGTTTGTAAATCCGTTGCACGAAACAAGGATTCTGAATTTGGAATTGAGAACATTTTATATTGTGACGACATTATTTTTTTGTTTTTTTTTTATTATTATTATTGTTTAGCGATCGCGTACTTACATAGTATGTATGATTATGGAAAAATTAATAAAGAATGTTTCTCACTACACCGTTTTCGAATTGTTTTTTATTATTTTGCTATCGTAGAGTTATTAAGTTTGCGTCTATGTCTTTGTGATTATTCGTACGGGATCGTGGATTCGAGCGGTGTAGTGCGAATCGCCTCTTATTTGCGTTCCGTTTAGATGGTCAGCAGAAAGAGTGCTTATGTTCAGTGGAGCTGCTGTGCTCGAGCCAACACGAATACTTATTGATCATTGTAAATTATACTTACTTAGTGTTGTATTAAACGAAATCATTACAATTATTGCACGTGTTTTATTGTTGTTTTTTTTATGGGATAAACCGGTAAACGAGCAGACGGATCACCTGATGGTAAGCAATCGGCGTCGCCCATGGAGACCTGGAACACCAGTGGCGTTACAAGTGCGTTACCGGCCTTTTGGGATTAGGAATTTGAGGATTGTTGGGTATTCATCTCAGATCTTCTAACACATCTATCACAGCTTTACTGAAAACCAGCGAGAAACAACGCTTGCGTTGTACTTCGTGTTAATGAGGTTGCCGGCGGTTACCGATGACTAAATTTTTGCCCCCATCCCTAATCCCACATCCGTCAAAGAGCCATCAGACCAGGTCTGATGCCGATACGGAGCTGCGGAATGTAAACGGTTACTGGGGCTCCGGCTAGAAATGCAACCGTAGGAACGGTAGGAACTACCCAGGAGGGAGGAAACATTCGAAGATTTCCCCCCCTTAAAAAAAAACACTTTTTAACTTCTTTGGTGTTGAGGTCTACGGGTAACTTCTGGCGTCGGGTACCTACGGCCAGCATGAATTGCTTACCATCAGGTGATCCATTTGCTGTAGGGTTGGTATGGAATTAATTATCTATAACATTTGCACGGTTGACATAGTGGCTGGGTAACTGGCTGCAGCACAACGTGTCGCGACTTCGACCAAATAACTATGCGATCATGGAATTGTTGTTCCGGGGCTGTGTTATGTCTAGCCAGTACACAGGGGAAAATCCTAGTGTAGTTAGATTTTTCTTAATATTTCTCATGAACTTGACGCCTTGTTAAAGGATTGGCCACAGAAAGCTATAAGAGGAGACGAGAGGAAGGAGGCTTTTGCCCTGCAGTGGAACGACCATGGCTTAAAATAAAATAATAAATAATGCCTTAGGGAAATAAATTTTTACCTACTGTTCTAGATGATAGTAGATACCTATATAAAAATGAAACCCGTTTCCCGTTGTCACGCCATAACTTGAGAATGGCTAGACCAATTTGGCTGATCTTCTTTTTGTTGTGTTTGTTATTGTAAGGAGAGGGTTCTTACGACAGAAAAAATCCTGAAAATCCTACGGGAGCAGGAGAAAACGGGACTGCGCGTACGAAGTCGCGAGCAGAAGCTAGTGATAGATAGATAGAAGTCCATCTACCACATTCCCTATGCTTTCAAACCTGTCGCGGAGAACCTAACGGGTAACCGGGGCTCCGGCTCGACGTGCAGGAGAAGGAACGGGGTGGTTTTTAGTCAGTAAGAGTCTGACACTCCCTTCCGCCTCACCCAGGCGGGAGGAGTCATTCGATGATTTTCCCCCCTTACAAAAAAAATGCTTTCAAACCTGAAACAAACCATTCTTGGAAGTGAATTGCATCGTTATGTATTTATGTCATAACGACTGCAACTAGCCTTGCCATGAGTCAGTAACGATCACATTTGTTGCGCATGCGTGTCAGAGCTCGCTATAATTAATATTATGTAAAAATAAAGAAGTGGCGATATCCGTCGACCGACGTATCCGCTGTAGCTTCAGCCGTAATAATATATTGATATTTGATAACTGAATTTGATGGATGAGTTAGTTAAAGGAGTTTATTTTGTTCTCAAAGGCGAGTTTGGCAAATAATGTTATTGTTATGTTTTAAATGAGATTTTGTGTCGTGGTGGCCTGGAGGTTTAAGACGCCCGCTTCTCATGCATGAAAGTGCGGGCTCGAAACCTACCAACGGCACATACTAATGTGACTTTTTCCGAGTTATATGTAGGTACTTTCTAAGATTATTTAGACACCATTGACAAACGATGAAAGAAAACATCGTGATGAAATGATGTGGTTCACGAAGGTAACACCCATTAATTTTCACTGGTTAGTGGTGGTTATGTTATTAGTCCCACTTAGTTGCGTTTAGGTACACAAACGCACATCACACCAAGACCATGAGCAAGCGTGGTGATTAATGCTTAAACCTTCTCCGTGCGAGAAGAGGCGTTATTCAGCAGTGGGCATTTATAGGCTGATTATGATGATGATGAAATGAGATTTACGGCGCGTGGTGTCGGCCTATTTATCCTGCGGGTTTCCACTAAAGGACTACCTTAGCAGAGATCAGCAACGGCAGCAGCGCTCTCTGATACACTTGACTTTTGAGAAAAGCGATTTCAAACGCGCCTGCTAATAGTGGCAATTATAGAAAATCCCTCTTATGTGGAAAAAGCCTATGAACTTTTGTGGACAGTAAATATTATGATGTGAATGTTTTAAATTAGAAAAAAATCATCACCAACTGGAATATCTAAATCTTTTGCCTAACGTTAAACATCCTTAAGAGCTGCCACAAAACTTTAGTTTTAAAGTGGCTTAGGTATAAAAATATCTAGTCTTTTCCATCATCGTACAACAAGACAATCGGCGAAGCCTCACCGATTCATGGTAGATGTCCCACACACACGCACGAAGCACTTCGCATCAAGCATCCTTGTGCGTACTGCTAAGCAGTGGAAT